TATACGCAGTGGCATACTAGTCAGCCATAAAAGGATGCAGTCCTGTCATTTATGACAATAAACAAGGAACTGAAAGTTATCATGTTTGTTAAGTGGAATGAGCCAGACACACAAAGTACCTTACTCAAGTGTTAAATCTTAAAAAATTTAATGGTTACCAGAGTTGGGGAGAGTAAGTGGAATAAGGAATAGGGAAAGGTTGGTCAACAGTTACTAAGTTAGGGCCAGCCAAATAGCTCAGCGGATTAGAGTGCCTGCAAGCAGGCACAGGGGCTGGGGGTTTGATCCTGGGGCCTGCTGTGCCAGCCCCACTCCTGGGGCGTGCTGAGACAGCGATTGAGACTGGGTGTGGAGCTGAGCACCTGTAATCCTAGCTGTTAGGAGGCTGTAGACAGGCAGATCACTATGATCTAGTAGTGAGACCCTGGACACCCTGTAGACCCTTCCCTAAAATTAAAAAAAAAAAAAATAAAAAATAAAAAAAAGTTACCAAGTTAGAAGGAGAAATGTCTGGGTGTTCTATTTCACAGTAGGGTGACTATAGGTAATACTAATATATTGTGCTGTATACTGCATTACAAAAAGCTAAGAGAAAGGACTTGAAATGTTTTCACCAAAAAAATGATAACTGTCTCAGGAGATAAATGTGGTAACTCTGATCTGAAAACTATATAGTGTATATATGTATCAAAGCATCACATAGTGCCCTATGAATATGTGTGGTTTTTGTGGAATTTAAAACATAGTTCAATAGAAATGTCAAAAATATTAAAGTTACTACTTAATAAAATTCTAGTGGGAAAACGCAAGGACTTTGTTGCTTCTCCTTAAAAATTACAAAGCATATTTATTAGAAAATTCACGTTATGTACTTGAGGATAAAGTTTACTGGTTTCTAAGTGTAAAGAATTTTATATGGCTGCCTTCTCACCGTGTTTCCCTCCTTTGTTGACAGCAAGAAGATTCTGTACCTCAAGTTACAGTGGAAGATTCTGGTGAAAGCTTGGAAGACCTCATGGCCAAGATGAAGAATATATAAATAATGAACTAGCATTTATTTTATTTTCTGTGTTTAATCCCATTGTTTAACTTTTAAAAAGTCCCAAACTAATAAAACTTTGTGCAACATTACTTGATGTATACATTTTCACTGAATTGTTATACTATGCTGTATGAAAATACTACGGGTGTTGTTATTCCCCTTGTCCTCCACCGAAACTCTCCTGAAGACCCTAAGACTTGAAGGCAGTTATAAATCTTAATGAAAATATGGCCTCTGACACCCAGTGTGGTGGCACATGCTTACCATCCCAGCTACCCAGCAGGCTGAGGCAAGAGGTAAGTTCTTAGATGGGGCAATCTAGTGACCTAGGGAGATCCTATCTCAAAATTTAAAAAATCAGTATATGTGCTACTGAAGCAAGCTCAAAATTTAAAAAATTAAAAAGGCTGGGATGTTTAGTGCAAAGGCCCTGAGTTTAATGCCAATGCAATGAATGAAATGCTTTTTTGGGGGGAGACAAACCTGATGCCCTATTCTTTTTCCTTCTAGTAATCTCTAGTGCTGTGTTGCCTGAGGGTGTGGAAAATAAAGTATTACCAATAATAGACAAGAAATACATGGGGCCAGGGAGATGGCTCAGTAGAATAAGTGCTTGCCTGGCAAGCACAAGG